GGGCAGGAGGTAGGCTCGGGTTCAAGGCTAACTACTAAGGTAAATTTTAAATGTGATGGTGATAAATGTGTGTAATCAAGAACTAAAGAGAGTGCATGAGGATTACCTTCATCAGATGACTTGTCAAGAAGAGGTTCGCTTGGTGTTGCTAAACAGGTCACCAGCTTGTAGTGGAACTCTTGAAGGTAATGAGGTGGTTTTCTGTCTTGGGATCTCTTAAGTTCAGGTAAAGATCTATTGCTTGGATAGGGGAAAGGTCTGGTGAATTGGGACTTTCTATAGTAGGAAAAGGAGGAATATATGCAGTCTCCACTTGGTCTAGCGTGTTGCTGAATGTATCGGATGAAGGTTGTGTATTCTTTTCAATATTGGTGTTTGCTGGTTGTTGTGACAATTCCATAGGATCAGAAATGGGATTAGGGAGAACAGGAGTATCATCTAGTGTGGACATGGTCGGAGTAGGTAAAAGAGAGGGCATGTTAGTGTGGTGTTTGAAAGGAAAAATTTCTTCATAGAATACCACATCGCGACTAACTAAAATTTCATGAGTTTTCATCTCAAAGAGCTTGTACCCCTTAATCCCATTTGAATATCCTATAAAAATGCATTTTCTAGCCCTTGAATCAAATTTGGTTTGATGAGGGTCAAGGTTTGATGCATAGCATAGACATCCCAAGATTCTTAAGTGAGAATAGGTTGGAGAAAAGAATTTGGTAAGGAGTCTGGTTCTGCAAATTAGGTGACGTAGTACGGTTGATCAAGTATGTAGCTGTTAGGATACATTCCCCCCACAACTTCAATGGTAGGTTGCCTTGGAACCTTAAAGCTCTTGCCACGTTTAACAAATGTAAATGCTTTCTTTCTACAATAGAGTTTTGTTGAGAAGAATATGTACAACTTTGTTGATGAATGACTCATTTTGAAGAAAAAAATTCTGTCATTTCAAACTCTTTTCCTTGGTCTATTCGAATGGCTTTAATCCTGCGGCTGAATTGATTTTCAATGAGGTTAAAGAAGGTTATTATTAACTGCCGTGTCTAGTTTTTGCTCTTCATGAGATAAATCCATGTATTTCTACCATGATCGTTAACAATTGTTAAAAAATAACGAGCTCCATTGAGAGAGGCAACAGAAAATGGTCCCCAAATAACCGTATGTCATAAATCAAAACATGACTCAACAAACTTGTGACCTAATGGAAAGGGTAAACGAGTTTGTTTAGCCATATGACAAGTATCAAAATGGTATTTTGTAGAGAAAATGGGGATATAGTGGGATTCATGCTATGCAACAAAACAAGACATTGGTCTAATGGATGTCCAAGCCTCAGGTGCCACAATTTTGGGGTCAAAATAGTAAGAGAATGTGCAACTGGTAGGTGCTGGTGCGACTTGACTTCATGGTCATTTTCTTGTAGGTAGTACAATCCTTGCAACTCTTTAGCAACTCCAATCGTCCTCCAATGGACTAGCTCCTAAATGAAGCAGTAACCAGATAAGAATACAAGACAACAATGGAGATCTTTGGTCAGTTTGCTAGTCAATATTAGATTGAACCTAAAACTAGGCACATACAAAACATTGTCAAGAGTAAGAGTGGATGAAATATGGATAGTTCCTATATATTTGACAACAAACACAGTACAATTTGGTAATCTAACAGACATGTTTGAGAGGGATTTCTTGTGTGTAAACATGTTAAGCGAACTAACTATATGATCAATTGCATCAGAATCTAAAATCCAAGGGTTTAAGTGAGCTTCAGTTGACATATAGCTAAGTGAGTGGCTAATTGAAATGGGGAAAGTGTTGGGAATTTTACCTGTCATAGTTGAATGTTGGTTACCTATGTGTTCTAAAGCGAAGCTAGCCTGGAGAAATTTTTGGCTTTGGAAAAGAGCTATCAGTTGTTGAATCTGGTCATGAGAAATATTCAGACTTGAGCTATTTGTGCCTTCATTTGTAGCAGCAAGATTTGCTGTTTTGTAGTCTTTTCCAGGTGCTGTTGTGGCCTTTTAGAACTTGTGATTGGGTGGATACCCATTAATCTGCCAACAATTGTCTATGGAATAATTAGTGCGGCCACATTTCTTACATGGACCTTTTTCTTTTAGTCATATCCCTTTGTACTTATTCATCAGTCCTTACTTGGAAGAATTTTTTTGATATTGAACTTTACCAGAGAACATGGCAGCAGACTCGACTATGGTATTTCTATTTTTGGCCAGCTCTTGGTTAGCTTCTTCTTGTAAGATGAAGTCGAAAACTCTATCAAGTGATGGCAATAGATCCCTGAGAAGAATATGGTTCCTCAGCCCATTTTAAGCTTCGTCCAAACCCATCAAAAATTACATAATCTGTCTTCTTTCTTGCCTCTTCATGATCATGGAGATGGCTCCACAATCAGTTTCCAAGCATTTGAATGGTTCCTCATATCTCGATATTTTCTCTCACATGAGTTTCAACTTCGAAAAAATAGATACTCACTGGTATCTTCTCTTGCTTGGTCACTGCCAATTGCTGTTCAAGCACAAAAATTCTGCTATTGCTTGACTTAGCAAATCGTTTCTTGAGTTCCTTCCAGACTTGTGATGCTGAATCGGAGTACATGACATATCCGGCTATCTCCAGTGAAAGACTATTCATAAGCCAAGACAAGATCATGTGGTTGCATCTTTGCCATTGTGGATATTTCTCATCAGTTTCTTCAGGCTTCTTGATTGTGCTATCAATGAAGCCCAACTTGTTTTTGGCAGATAAAGCCACATACATGGCTCTACTCCAAGCATGATAATTTTGGGGTGTAAGAGGCTGTGAGAATAGGAATAATCCGGGGCTCTCACCATGGTGGAGAAAGTATGGGTTGGATGATTCATCAGTAAGTTGTGTGTTATTTTTGAGTCCTGGATTTGCTTCAGCCATGATGGATTAGAAGAATTTAAAACAGAATCTGCAGGTGTAGGAAGATGGGAAAAAATGTGGGAATTTAAGTTTGATTCAACAGAGGTTGAACCTCTTGCTCTGATACCATAATAAGAATTGAAGGTGGGGAAAATGATTCAGTGACCAATAAGGTTGCACCATCATCCTTTCTATTCCACTCATCAATTGAAATACAAGCAGATGATTCTCAAATATTAAAGAAGCCGTGGAAATCAAGATCCCAACCTACAGCTAACAATACAAAACAAAGCTAAATTACAGCTATATATCACAGCTAGCAATACAAAACAAAGCTAAATTACAACTACTATATATCACTTCATAATTGTCTGGTGCAGCAGAATTCTAACAGAGGAATGTCAGCTTCAACTATTTTGCTTTTTCAGGATGTGTTGAACTATAAATGGTTAAGTCAACCTTTGAAACTTGTGCCTTAGTTTTCTTGTGCTGCTCACATTTGTTCTGGGTTTTCTGTATTCTGCTCGTTAATACTTCAGACATCATATGTGGCCTTTTTGTTCTTTTGCAACACAACTCTATCAACAGTTTTATCATCTGTTTCTCTATATGATTGGTCCCCAATAGCTCCGCATCAAAAACTTTTGTAATCCACTTCTTAGGATTAACAGATCTAATCCAGTTAACTAGGTTGACAACCTCATGAGCATCAACGACGTAAGGGAGATTTATGAGTAAGAAGTGTTATGCCTCTTCCAAGTGAGGTTCCAAAAGTGGTAACATGACAACCACATAATGAATGAACCAGAGCCACATTCCATGTAACCTTGCCTATGTGACAATTCCGCTGAACACCCATGAAGAGGCCAAACCCCTATGAAGTGAGTTGAACCCTCATGGATGAGGCGATGCAAGGCACTGTAGGGATCTTCCATACAAGATATCCTATGATTGATTGATGTGAGCATGTGCTGTAGTGGCCACTCTACCAAGTCAAATTGTCAAGTCTAGTCCTTACATGTTAGGCCTAGGCCATAAGGATGCAAACGTTCATGAACATTAATGCATCTAATCCTAAGAGTGACAGAATGATGTCTATGACAATGCGTCTCGGTCGTTAAGATGATACCACGTATCTTTTCATCTAATGGTTATTATTTCTCCTCTACTACTATAAAAGGTTATACTTAGTGTCATTTGAACGTAATGCAATTTTACACACTCGGTAACATTGCTCTCTATATTTTCATTCTCTATACATACTCCCCGATCCGACCTTTTTTGTGATTCATGTCTTTAGCGCGTCCCACATCTAAATACATATTCACAAAAAGATTGACTTGATAATCAGAGTGCTCGAGACCGCCTTTCCAACCATCGGAGACGCTCACATGTTCTAACGGTTTAGCTAAGTGTGCAAGAAGAAGGCTACATGGACGTGAGTGGAACGGGATCTGTTGGCCATGTCATTCGTTAGAGAATCAAGGTCAACAAGAAGTTCAAGCAGCAATATTTGAAAGCTGCAGATATCGGATTCTTGGGATAAATTCTAGGTGTTCTTGACCTCTCGGATATTAAAGATATGAAAAGATCATGATCTCTTTGTTAAAATTCATTTTATTTTATAATAATTATTGCACAAATCTTTCTTTTTATAATCATTTGTGAAACTATAAAATGGGTCTTCTTCTTTGTGATAGTTAAGACATTTTACATACAATTTATGACTTTCAACACAGCATTCTGTTCTCTAGCGCCCAAGCTCCACCCTATTTATTTTTATTTTTTTTTAGCTGTCTTTAGTGTAGATTTCGTCTTCACCGGCCTTTATGTTTCTGATAGCTTCTTGCCACCATTTAAGGACCAAATGGTGTAATTTTCCAAGGGATCCTTGTAACATTATGGAACCTTCTAAAAATGAGCTGGATTAACTAATTCCATGTTGTGCAAGGAAAACTAATATTGTTAAACATGCCTAAAAGAACTTTTCGTACTTATCGACCTTGACGCTCGTATAGTCTCAACGCTTATTTATGAAACTTTTACTCATATCGGACTTTATTCTGAAAATGAAATTGGTCATGTATGCAAGTGAGCATGTTGAAGTCTTCTAACAGTTTAACTTTATATGATGCCGTTCAACGGGTCATCTGACAAAAGGTATACCAAACCTGAACAGAAACTAGAACTGAGATCTGAAGAGTGATGAATTTGGGAAGGAATAACTCCAAAATATATACTAAACCGATTTCAGATTTTACAAACTAGTGAATTCCATTAATGCTGTCCAATTATGGCTCTAACATAAGCTCCAGAATCTCCACCACATCAGACATCTTTGGTCTGTTTTCTGGTTTCTTTGCTAGACAAGGTATTGCAATTTCCAACATGTTCCACATTGCTTGTTTTACAATGGGATTTCTTAGAAGTTGTAAGTTGTAGACCTGAAAACTCAATCCGACTTGAGCATGAAGATGCGCCCAAATCGCCAAAGCTTTTATGTGCACGACTAATGTGCTTTGGGGACCTTCCAGTAAGAAGTTCAACCAGCAGGATGCCAAAGCTGTACACATCAGATGCCTGGGACACCTTATTGCCGAAAATTTCTGGGGCACGGTACCCAGAATTTCGATTAAGTAGTTTGGCACTTGGATTTATCAGGCTTGCCAAGTCATAATCAGCCACACAGCCATATTGTTGCGAGTTGAGGAAAATGTTCGATGCTTTTATATTTCCATGGACAAGCTTTCCAAAACATTGTGTGTGAATCTAAGCAAGACCCCTTGCTGCACCAATTGCAATTCTAATCAGTGTTTCCCAGTCTAAATGAACCCGATTACCCCCTCTTTTCCCTGGAAATATAAGAAATTACATCAACATAAACACATTTACATCCATGTACCAAGATTAGTGTCCTAGAACCAAAGAGTATCAAGTACACTCTAATTAAATTTGGTTTATAGTCTTCCATTTTATTCTGGTTTCGCACAGTCCTATGCAGTCAAAGAACACACATTTATCCCATTCAAACTTTTGAATGATGACCTCTACCCCGCCCCCCGGTTAACATGATGACAATGATCCTTTAATCACACTCCAAGATCACTAGAATCATCCCTCTTAATGCAAGAGTAAATCTTAAAGATTATTGATCTCAATTCAGTCACTCCGATTATTTCCACATTCACTCTATGTAACCACAAATAGTCTTTCCTACTTCCTATATGAGTATTCAATCTCATCTCCGCAAGGTATGAGAAACTAAGCTCTATAAATTATCTAGCTTTTCCTATCCCCTTCGCAAGTAAGGAGTCGAAAAAGCATTACTTTAAATAAGTTTCCTGAATTCTGAGTAAAGATATTGAATTAAATGTGAGAAAAATATATAGGGTTTAACATACCGTGTAACATTACAGATACACTCCCTTGACTGAAGTAATCGTACAGCCCCCACACACCATCCTCAGCAAAGAAGTAGCCCCGTAGTGAAGCTACATTTTCATTATCGATACTTCTGACAATTGCCATCTTTTCATCGAACACCTCGTTTGCAACTCTCCCAATCTTCAACTTCTTTAACACAATCATAGTTCCGTCGCTCAGCGTGGCTGCGAACGTAGAACTGAATGAAAGCCCGTCGTCCCCAATGAATTCCCAAGACGCCTCCAACAAATCTTCAAGATCAAATGCAGGAACGGAATTCTCAATATATACAAGATCAGAGTTTCCTTTGTCAACTCTGATAGAACCTATGGATTTGATTACACTGGGTAAGTATGAAGAAAATTCGAGACGTGATGAAGGACTCTAACGGGAGCTGGTACTGTAATCCGATGCTATGGAGCTTAAACTCGAAGTCCTGGAGGGGGCATGAAAGAGTTCCCAGAGCTCCTCTCGGCGGATGACGGCGGCTGTCAACCTCTCCCAGTTGTCGTAGACCGTCGACATGTAGACTCGAATTGATCCTACCAAACGCAATTCTTGGAAAAGTACCTTAAATTGTGAACTTTTACAAATACTGATTAAAAACCCAGTGTTTATATATAAACACGTTGACATTGTGCGTGGAATGAATACCAAAGTTTTTTGTCACATATATTGTCACGGCTTTAACTCCAAAATTTTAGCTCCTCCTTAACCGCAACTCTCTGGAACTTTTACCAATGGAAGCCAGTTGAATAATAGCCAAAACAACAAAGAAAAACAGAAATTGGGGTGGGAGAAAATGATGATAAAATGAGAAGAGATGAGAGGTGAATTGAATTGGAGAATCAATTCATTCCTAACAAAAATTACCCAACAATATTCGTCCCTTTTCGACAAGAATATATGGAGATGTAGAAACCAGCAGAAAGTGTGTCAGGAAGCGTGTTTTGGCCAAACAAAATTGCAAAAACGATTTACAAAATATTATATTGTAACTACAAGAAAACGACAACGTTTTTCTTAACTGATACGATACCGTTTCCTTAGTTCAATCGTTAGGTAATCCAGTTCCATTTCCTTCTTCCTTCTTTGCTCCTTTTGCCCTTCTTTCCCCAGGTGCTTCCTCCATAACATATATATATCTGTTTCGTTCCAAACGCGTTCGGAGAAGATACACGGGAGGAACTTAAGGAAAAGTATGATTTATCTAGAACTTATTTTGTTATTCATTTGGCCGTTTTTGTTAACTATTCTTTCAAGAAAAAAAAAATTCTCATTTACATTTTCAATCGCACATTTTTATAATAAAATATTTTTTTACGTAAACCAAAAATATTTTCCAACTTTTTAATCCATATTCTCAAAAAATTTAATATTCAAAAACTCATTATTTCCCAAAAAAAAAAAAAACCTGTAAAACAGGAGCTTATTTTAATTTTTTTCTTCAATTTTTCATATCAAAAAGAAATTATATATACTAAAAGATCGATAATTTGACTATTTTGCCCTTTTGGAAAGTTTAATTTAAATTACTAGAATAATATATTTACTACGTTGAATTGACATAACTTAAATTAAGGTTTTAGACCATTTTTAATCTTTTTCAAAGGTAGGGCCCTAACTACTATTTTATCTAATTAAAAATAAGGGCATATTAATCTTTTTCAAAACGAACACCTAAAATGTTAGGAACTTCGTTCATGCTAAGAAACAAAAACTAAGACCATATCCACACAAAATGCGAAGTTTTTTTTTAAAGACACATCACGTCCAACTTGACATTATACTGATTATCTTGAGAATTTATACATTTAAAAAAAAAAAAATCATTAAAATTTAAGCTGAGGATCAAGCTAATTAGATCAAATATTATTCAAATGAAATAGTAAAAATATAAACTTGGCAAGTACGGCCATCTTGTGCCGTCCTAATATTACAGATATACATCTATGGACCAAGCTACAACAACAGGGATCTTGACATGCGATTTGACAGAACACACACATGTATAGGAGGTTGACATTTTTTAATCGATGCGGGACCCACAGCAATTGTGAGAGGTGGTCACCCCTTCTGGCAAGGATTTTCTGGTGGTTTTGCAAAATCCTACATCTATTACAGAATTCAACCAACTTAATAGTATTCATTTTGTGAGTTGATTTTAGAAAATATCAAATAGATGTACCATATCATAATTCGTTTATCGTCTGGAAAATATAGAGTCGAACAATTAATAGCACTGCTAGTTTAAAGAGCATATTATTCATTTCTCACAGGAAATTCATTTACAATCGTATAGGAGTATATTACCAGGGTACATTAGCGGCTGCACCAATACAAACAAATGATACAACCACTTCAACTTAAAAACAACTAATAGTACAGAGATTTTAGGATGCGCCGTTGAGAAAATGAGCCAATGCCTTGTCGGTATCATTGTCGTACATGAACAGGGCGTCTGCAACACTGTTCGATGAGAATCCCATTTCATGCAGAAGAGCATAGCCATTCACAAATTCCTTAACCTGAATATAGTGAAAGTACTCAGTCAGTTGCTTACTTCGATTTGTGCTCCCTCAAACAATTCAGCACAGTACTAATAGCATCTAGTGAAACAAGGTCTCTTGCTAAGCCCCTATTTGATTTCCATTGTTTTAGAACTCTTTTTTCTATATGATCATTTTTAACCACGCATTCACACAATAAAATATTCTGCATGTAAACTCAAAACCCATGATGAACGCAGACATTTGGAGTTAGTGGGACACAATCAAATTTATTAAAAAGTTACAAAAAAAAATTACGTATTCTACAAAAAACGTACATATGATCACTATCATAAATTCACAAATCTCATATATATAATAAATAAAAATTCCCAAAGAATTTCAAATAATCTCACATGTATGATAAATAACAATTTATAAAGAATTTTCAAAATAATTATCACAAATGACAAAATAATTTCAACTCTTACTCTCTCAATTGTTTGGTCATTGTTGGAACTCTATTCCAATTAAAAAGCTCAACTATCATTATTGCCCAATTCTAATTTTTGATTATTTAAAAAAAAAAAAAAAAAAAAAAAAAAAAAAAAATTGAAGCTAGTGGGTCAAGTGACCCACTAGAACCTTGAGTAGGTCCGTCAATGCTCAAAGTTTTTTCTTATTTTTTAACCTTACATTCTCCCAAAAAATACCATTCAAAACTCTTTAAACTAGAAATAATGGCCACCAAACAGAGGCTGAGTACTGCTAACACAATCCAAATTTTACATGCCACCCACAATACTCCCAAGTTAACAACATGATCACATGACAAGTACAGGAAAAAGGGTGAACTATAGTGGGAGATAATATATGGGAAGATAAAAGATAATTAAATGAGAGAGGAAATTACCTTGGCAGGATTGTCTCCATAATTTGCAACAGCAATAGGCACAGCATCTCTATTAAGGCCAGATGCTATATATTTACTCACTAAGTGATCAGCGCTTGGGTTCTGCATTTAAGCAATTGATGGCATAATCAGATTGAAATTTACCCCAGAGCTAATATAAAGATCAAGGTTCTCAAAATCACGGCCATCCCTGACTGTATTTGAAAACTTCATTCATTTTATTTTTATTTTTTTATATTATTTATATTATTTTTTTCTTTTTCAGCTCAAGTATATATTACAATTGAACATAAAGACAAAATATTTATTAAAAAATATATATATATATATAAATATATATATATATATATAAATTTTGCTGTTAAGTGTATCAATTGGTATAAACTAATGACACAGAAGATCCTGTGGAGGGATTGATAGCCATGAAATCAATGTATCAAACTCAATTACAGATTCATACTTGAAAGGACTGGACTCAGCGCAGAATTGTAGAATACAACATACAAAACCTCTTGTCCAAGGATCATGCCTCAGCTGTCATTTAAGAAGAAACAAATATAATTTCTTTTACACATTCCCCCATTATTTACATTTCACCTTAGAAAAATCATTCTAACTCACCAAGAAATTTCTAAATCTAGATCCTTATACACAAGAACATAAACAACCAGTTAATTCCCTCATGATAAAATTGAGAAGATGTATCTACACCTCAAATATTATGAATTCATAAAGATTTTAAGCACATATAATCAACATAATCACAATTTACAAACAATACATTATTAGTAAGAGTGAACTTACATAAGATGTTGACTCAGTTGGCTTAGGAGGAACAGTTTCCAGGCCAAGTCGGCTCCAATTCGGGTTTTCCTTGACTGCTTCAGCCAAAAGAATCCTCTCGAATTCGAAATCAAAGTGGAAACGACTTCGAGGAATCTCTCCAACGTGTGGAGACAACTGAGGCTAAATAAATTGCAAATCAATGTGAACATTCAAATTTAGTAAGCAAAACAAATTTGCATATAATTTCAACTAATGACAAAATAACAAATTATATCATGTGCATAAGCAATTTAAAGTTGGTATTAGATCATGTTCTATAGACTACAAAGCTATGGATTCATAAAATTCTAAGAATAAACAAGTTAACGAGTTATACCGGTGGTGTAATTTTATACTCTGGTTTTACAGCAACCCTAATCCCAATTCCAGCTGCAAATCAAACAAAATAAAATAAAATAAAATAAACCCACAAATCATACAAAACATACACATCTAAAAATCTTTAGCAACCGGAAGAAAGAGCAGGAGAGACATACAAGTAGAGGGCGGAGCAGGGGCATGCTGGAATTGATGGCCACGACCAGGGACGCCAGGGGTGGAGGAGCTGGCGCCACCGCCACCGCCACCGCCACCGCCACCGATCTTGGGATAGAGGGAGGATGGTTTCCCGTACGGCGGATGCGCAGACGATGACACCGCAGCAGCGGCCGGCCTGCTATAATTCGGGTCGTAAGATTGGCCCTCTCGGGTCCTGAAATCGTAATTCATTACTGGTAAAAAATTAATCTAGTTTCTAATGAGTTTTTCGTCGGTTTTTCCGATGAATCACAGTTGCCGGAGTTTCTTAAACTACTGGGAGAGCACTAGGTGAAGGAAAGAAATTGGCGCATTACTTAACCGTCTTAATTTGGGCGTCTCGAATTTATTTGTTTTCCAGTTATTACATGGAAATTTCATTGGAGGTCATTTCACAACTTTAATTCATATCAGTCACTCAACTTTAATTAATTCAATTCCAATGGTTTAACTTATATTTTATTTCATTCATTCATTCAATTCCAATATAGATTTTTTTCTTTTTGAAGAATTTCTTAGAAAATTGCATTGTCAAATCTTGAATAGTTAATTGAAAAGGGTTCGTAGCACGAAATAAAATTGACATATTCACTAGGTCGCGAAATTTGTCAACCAAGTTATCATGTAGATTTAAATTGAACAAAAATTTTAAAAATACAAGTTCGTCTCCAACCTTTTTAATTTTCTCGCAATTTTGTTTACATTTAGCCTTTGTTTGAGCCCTATTTTGGAACAGTGAATTGATTGAGAATGTATGGTTAAAAATTATGGAAAAGTTTTAAATTTGCGTGTAATATTATTTTATTGGAGAATGTGTGGTTAAAAAAAGGTTTTGAAAAATAATTTTTTAGAAAAATGGGTTCAAACAAGGGCTTAATAGCACATAATATTCCAAACCTTTTAGTAATTCACACAAATGGTCCATCCTCATCAACGATGGATATCACCAAACTAAAATGAAATCGCAATTTTGAACTCTCTAATTTGAGTCCACATTCACTCTTTTAGAAAACTAGTTTGTCGTCCATGCAATGCATGGATTGGATTATTTTGAATGTGATGTTAGCTTTTTTAATGTTGATACGAGTTTAGTAATTAAAGAAGAAACCAATTACTTCTAAAACTAATAAACTAAGGTAAGTTATTTATGATATTAAGCCCTTGTTTAAGCTCAACTCTTCTAAAAATTCATTTTTTCAAAAATCAATTTTAACCACATATTTTTTAATAAAATAACATTATACGCAAATTCAAAACTTTTCCTTAATTTTTAACCACACATTTCTCCATCAATCTACTATTCAAAATGCATTATTTCCCCCCAAAAATGGGGTTCAAACACACTTTAAGTTATGAATGGAATTGTTCAATATACTAATGATTTGAAACATGTGTTTAATAGACGATAATACTGTTAACATAATTGTGATGTTTAGGAAGAAGTATGTTATTTGAGTCTATTTTTTAATGATGAATCAAAGTTTCATATGTTATTGGTAGGAATTATAAAAGTACAATTCAGTCATATCTCACAGTGTTTGTATTATTCATAAGGATAAAAAGAGAACTAACATATTTACAAGAACCTCTTAATGTCAAAAGTAGTAATTTATTGCTATTTGGTAGACTTTCAACAAAAGAAATATCATTAGGTTCCAGTACATAGGCATATTATGTTACTTTTTCATAGCACTAGAAGAAATACATTGCATGACAACCTATTGTTATAAAAGTAATATAGATGGCTTTCACTCATGTTTTTCTTTCAAGGTGAGGATACTGGTTTGGTAATTGGACTTGTAGCATGTGTGAGTCTTCTTTTTAGGTTTTGAGTTTGTTTCAGAAGTTACATTTGATGGTTGGAAAAGAGACATTTTTTTTTTGCATTTTGTGGAGTGATCTCTCTAGTGTCTGTGAAAATTTCACTGGCATGGTTGTACATCTTGTTTTTGCCTTTTACATCTTTGTTATTTGAACTTTCTTTCATTTAAATTGGGTTGTTCACATCAATTATGATAGTTGAAGAAGTTATTCCATTCATTACAATTGGAGCATTGCTATCGGTGATTATCGTGGACAAGTTGAGTACAAATATGATTTCATGGTAGTACTCAGGTGGGTTGCGGCGTTGTTCTGTTACCTTTCATGACATTGTTGAGTTTTGTATCTGGTTTTTTGTTGTATATAAAATATGTGTTTAAATATTGTGTCATAGTGTTGTAAAAAAAGCATTGTTGGGGGATGTTAGAACTCATGTTTTACCTTTTGAAGATGATCCATTATGGCATTAGCTTTAGCTACCAATAACGCCTCTGCTGCATCTCCTATGATGGTTGCATATACCAATCTAGATTTGTCTCCAAGTTGTACAAAAGTGTTTGCCCTATAATGTTTCTTTTCCAGTTATGCATTATGTATCGTGTTAAAGAAGTAATATTGTTAATAAAGCTTTGAATTTATTTTTAATGATAGAAATTACCTTGGGACAACTTTTGTGTGTCCATATTTGCAGAAGCGACATTTATGAATTTCTTCAAAGTTTGAGTTTGATATCTTCTTGCTACGCTACAGGTCATATACCAAAATTTCTAATTTTTTGAGGTGATTTTCCATTGAGCATTCACCAAATAGAATTTGTTCGGTGAAAAGAGATGTTTTTTTGTAATTAGATAGAAAGATAGTAAGAGGAAAAAGTGCACGATGTTCTTATAACATTCAATATAAAATATAGAAAGAATGTATTTATGCTAATTATATTTAGTGAAGCAGTTTAGAGTTACCCTTAGATAGACTCCTAGGAAATCTGCAACTGGTATTAATTCCTTCTTAGTTGGAGGAGAAAGTATTGATGGGCTGAGAGCAACAAACGGTTTATTTTCTATCAATCAGCTTGTCAAGTGTTTCTTTGTTAGCTTCCACCTTGTAAGAAATAATGACACATTTAGTTTAAAACATAACTGCTGTATTTATTTTTTATTTTTTTGTATGGAAGTTGAAAAAGTGAATATGTGTATTGGGCATGTTTTAGTACCAGTCTTTGTACTCTGCAATAGTTAATAGTTCAACATTAATGAAAAAACTGTCATTTACTTTGGTTGAAAGTTTGATGTCTATACAAAAGAAATTAGTAATAACTAATATGTTCTGTTTTTTTTTTTAAATAATAATAACACTATAAATGAAATTGTATTTGTAAAATGAATTTACCATTGAACGAAGAAACCTTGAGATTTGTAGCCCATTTTGACAGTCCTATTTGGAAGGTTTTCAACTATTGTAATGCATTTCCATTTGACAAAGCTGTCCCATAACCTTAGCATCATAATTTTGAACTGTTTGTCTATCAAGACAACATCTTGTAGACAAGCTTGTGTGCCAAAGTTAATATGAATAAGTCGTTTCAGTCGAATATCCATAGATACATCCATTACATCTATAAGAAGGACATGGAAAGTTTTTGTTATATATCTTATATGTAACAACATTATATGAAATGAGTAATTTAAACTTAATGTGTTAGAAATCTAACTTATATCTGTATTCTTGTGCCATATGCCTCTCTAGTTGATCAAATAGAGTAAGTTCATACTTTGAGAACAGGAAGTTCAAGTTGTCTTCATTTATTTCTTCAACTTTTGTTCTTGCTGTTATACTTCAAGTTTTTTGTTCGACTGAACTCCGGTATTCACTTTTGATATCTTTAACTGTTGCACTTGAGATAATATTGTTTTTCCAAGTTCGAAATGATCATTTAGTACAATAATATTGGCATCATACATTGTTACCGTGACTTTGTTTCCTCGTTGAATGTTAGAAAAAGAAGAAAATATTAAGAAAGCATATATGTATAGCTCAAGGTAGAAAATTATTGGAATTATTAGTACATATGTACCTCTAACTCCATGAGAGTAAGATTCTGGTAACAGCTATTGGAATTCCGAGTAGTTTTTAGGGATTGTCTTCCTGCTATTTTAACTTTTTTTGACCAATTATTTTCTGAAGCTGAAATTTGTAGAATGAACTCATGCGGTGCAGCCATTTTTCATATCTGTAAATGACATGAACAATAAGTTAATGTATAGATAAGTATAGCTATGAATGTAAGAAAGTTGTTAATGTGGCAGAAGAAGAAGGTAGTGTAGCCTGGAAGATGAAAAAATTACCAGAAATGAACACTAGAATTTCTTAAAGTATGGTAGTTGTAAATAGTAATGATAATCTCTTTCTTTTTGCATATGTGAAGTTGAAGTGCTGTGGTAACCTATTTATGGAATTCAAACAGAGACAAATAGTTTAATAAATATTTTATATTTTTTTATATATATGATTTGGTGTTGGAAGGGATGAAGTTTAAATTCTAATGTGTCCATGTGTTAGTTGTGAAATATCTATTTATCATTATGATATGAAAAGTCATCTAAGTACATAGATGCATCTACTTGGTAGAAAATAGATATCGTCAAAGATCCATTTTGTAAAACAAATATTTATGGGAAGAAGTGTTTTTTTTTTTTTTTTTTTTTGGGTTTGAAATTGAATTTAGTTTGTTTATTCTTATCTATAAAGCTTTTTATTATCCAAAAAAAAAAAAAAAAAAATTGCCTGTGTAGTTTGAAAGGTTTTCATGTAGAAAATGTTTTTCATAATTAGTTATGTTTTTGGAAGGGTATAAGTTGAAGTGGTATTTAAATATGGAAAGATGTAATTGCCAGTGTATAGTTATGGAAAAAGGAAGTATGTAATGGGGTAAATGATTTTTAAAGAATATATTAGTTATTAATATAATTTGTGAATGAATGTAGCAATTTGTAGTGTAAGTATCTTGTAGGGAATCTCAATCACATTTTCCCAGTATGCATAAATATTTACTTCTTGTATTGGTCTTCTGTATAAACAGAAAAGGAAATTATTGATTGAGGCATATTTGCAATTGTATTGACCTTGTGATAAATGTAGTAAGGCTACAATTTTATTAATTGACAATACGAAACTTATAACCATCTGTTCATGTTACCTGATCTAAACACATAGTAGTTGTTGCCATTGGACGTTTAGCAAGGGAAAATTTTGTAAAGTATAGTTGAAACGAATAATAAGCAAGCTTGTTATTTTGAAATGTATTGAAGACCTAAAAAAATCTAAGTGCGGTTAAAATGTTTGTGCATATTGATGATCGTGCGAATTGTATTTGTATTTTTCTTTTTTTTTGATGAATTATCTAATATTTAGTAAAACTGAGGCAACCTTGCTAGAAATCTGCAAAGAAGACAAGAAAATATAGTGAATAAAACATTGAAGAAAAAGGTG